CCCAAAGTACATATCCTTTCAAGAGTGTTTATCACACATGGCTGGAGGAAATTGGAGCATTCGGGTGAGATGCTTCCTTTTTGTTAGTAAAATTTTATTCTAATCAGGATTGGAATTTGAATTGAGAAGCTCGGCTAGCTTAACGACTGCCGCTTTTGCTTTTTTTTCTGTTCGGGACCTAACACTACTACGACCAGTAAATTGATCTATTGTAGTATATCCCGTCTCCTTAGTTTAGTGCATGTCGTATTACTCCATCACTATTGAGAAATGATGAAGTATTCATTTTTTTACAGTTGCCACTCTTGCAATTATCGCAAGGATCCGACTCTAATTGAACGGTCCCACTATTTATACCCTTCGGAGTGTTGGAACACCCTCCAAAGGCGCGCCCCTTTGTCAGTCAAAATTGGATTCCTTAGCAACAGAATTAAGGTATGACACCGATAATGACCATGCATCAGAACCCTAGTCTTAACCACTTCAAACTAGAGAACAACGAAGAGAAGATTAGGAATCACATAGATGAAGACAACTAACTCATTTTTTTTCCCTTGTTTCAAGATCATCCTTGGTAGACAAAGCCGAGTCTTGTCACTATCAACAAGGCTTAACAAGTAACAAGGACTAAGATGCATTCCTTGGATTACTGAAAATCCTGTTCCTCTATAGTTGCTTTTGCCGCTTTAGATGACTCTGATTTCATTGCGTTCGGTCAAATCATTCACAAAATGACACTTCGTACGATTTTCTCCATAGCAGGTCAACATTTTGATGAAGCTTTGATAATCTTCAAAAACTTAATCTGGTTCATCATTTGTTCTCAAAAGTCTTTCAAAATCTTCTTCATTAAAATAAGTCTTGGCCATAATGTTGGCAGCATTCAGTAAGTGAGATGTACTCCGCTTCTGTAGATGGCAATGTGACACATATCTGTATCCAGAGTCTATTAGTACATTTGATGCTTTAGCATCTGCTAGTCAAACCGAATAGCCAGTTTATCTATGTACGTCTTTTGACATAAACGGTAGCTATGCTCCGTCTGGATCACTTGAATGCAGAGTAAGTTTTTCCCGTCGCCTAACTTCATCAGCTGATAGTCTGGACCTATTTTTCGAACAACGTCATGATAAGCTGCTTCATTTGTCGTCACCAGGAGCAGGTCGTCTACATATACCAAAAATAAATCATTTGGTTCTTCTTAAGTAAAGACAGGCAAGGATCTGCCCCTGCTTGATTGAATCCGTGCCTAACTGTTTCGTGCCGAAAATTATCCCTAAGATTTTTTTTTTATTTCGCTTAGGTTAGAAAAAAAAATGAATTTAGAAATCCTGAGGAATATTTTTTTATTAGGAATGGGCAATACTGAATCTCAGTTTTTTCTTTGCCAAATTATCTAGAACAATTCCTAAGGTTAATCTCTCGCCTTTTTAAATATTACCTTATGATACAAAATGACGTTCCACTAGTCCGGCCTTCGAAAAAACTTCATAACTCAGGAACTTTTTCAGAACTCAGAAACATTTTTGAAAAACTAGAACAATGGAAAACTTTCGAATTCTCAATATTACAAATAAACCAATTCAATATTTGTAACTAAACAAAACATTTTTTGATATAATTTGAATTTTGAAACATTTACTCGATACACCGATACTCGACGCACGAGTATGAAATAGGAACCTATTAAATATTCAACTAAGAAATATACAAAGGAATTTAGAAAATATCATCACTCATAACAAATTCAGCTCACTTTGTTAACAACTATCCGATATTGGGGAAATGGCTCTAATGTTGGCCTATGGATCTAAGATTGGGCCCATCGCTAAAAATCTGTTAAATATCAATATTATCTAGATGAATGCATAATTGGGACGGTACACAGCAAAAAAATAATTTTGATATCACATCAAAGTGGATGCACTACAATCATGTCGAAAATTTCATGTAATTTTTATGACCACATAAATAAACAAATGCAGTAAAAGCAGCGTAATGTCAGTTCATGCATTGTATTAATGATAATTTTGTCCTTTTTAGCAAGTAATATTACACCATATTTACGACATGATTGTAGTGCATCCACATTGACGTGATATCAAAATTATTTTTTTGCTGTGTACTAATGGATATTTTTGGTCGCCATTGAAAATTTAGTCGAGTGGGTCCAAATTACATCCATTTCCCCTAGAAACAGTTGAACGTAAATGGACAAGATAAAATGCTTACCTAACCGTAATCATATCAAAAAATTACAAAAGTCGACAGTATTTTTCACAACACTACACACTTAGAAAAAATCATGTAAATTTAGGTGCTCTGAGACTGACATATACGAGCGTCAATTTTGACATAAAATTGAGTCATAATAGACGCAAAATTCAGCTTACTAAAACGTACTTTTCGTCGCGTAACGAACTTATCAGTCTCGGCGCACTTAATTTTACATGACATGTTTGTTTACGTCTCACCCTTTATTTCAAAGATGGATTCCGATTGAAAATCTTAATTGAAATCTGACTCACAAGTTGAAGATTTCACATGGATGAACCAGTAGATCAAAACAAACCTGCAAGCATGACACGATTTCGCAACGATTCCAGCCTCACAAATATTACACACATCAGCAAAATCTAACCTCTCTCTGTCAAATGCCGTTGACTGGCGATCCCATAAAAAACTCACCTGTAAGTAAACAAGAAAAGAGATTCAAATTAAAATCAAGCTTCAACAACTAGCAACAGTAGAGGTATAGAGCCATACTCTTCCTCAACTGCGCGGCTATTCCATTTGGCTGTGCGAATGTACTATGTGGGTATTTCACGGGTCAAAAAGGGTAATGCTCGCGTTCGGAGCGAATTAGCAATTTCTGGTTCATCATGCAAAAGATCTCCTTCTCACTGGGTTTCACAACCGCTGCACTGTGGGAAAGTTGCTGACAGAATATTTATATTTCTTGAAGATTCTCGATAATTGTTCCTACAGTGATCACTAGGTTATTCATAGTTGATTTATCATCATCTTAGAATAAATCTTCTTCTACTTGAAGCGACAAAATAGTGCTACCTTTCCCACTGTGCCACATCTCAACATGAGTTCACAACGTTGCTCCGCGCAATGAAATTGGTAGTTACCCCTATTGCCGACCAAGGGTCCCATCGCGGCGCGAACAATTTAATGGCAAAACGTATTAGTCATATCAATCTCACCCGCGCGTTTGCAGCAAAGCCAGTGGCGAACGCGTACACAAATCCCGGTAAAGCTCACCCCGTGCTGGAGTGATTTGAGCGCTATTCATCTATTAGCCCATGCACATGAATTTGTCCGTGTCAAAGAGACGGTCGAGCCGGACGAACGGACCCCCTTTACCTTTGGGGTAAAGTGACAAGCCTTCAATGCTCTATGGCAGATATCCAAGTGAGAGAGGGTGGCAAACTCCACTCCACTGGCTCCAATAAAGCATGGGAAAATAAATAACTTGTGCGCGCCCCTTCGAAAGCGAAATCTGCTGGAACTAATTGGCTTCCCAAAGCCGGGGTTGGCTTTGGGTCTTGGCGCAGTCATGTTGACTGACGATCGGACGGACGGACTGACTTACTGACGGACTAAATCTGACGACGTTTACTTTCACCGATCACGTTGTTTGTGGAATATATGTAAGCATTTTTTTGTCAGCACTTCGAGGGTCCGGACAAAGTCTGTGGCCTAAGACCCATCGTTTGTTGGGCCATGTATGCAGATGTGAGGCAATCATTAATGTCAGTTGAGATGTTTTTTTCGTGCAATTATTTATTTTTGGAACATAAAAAGAAGACGTATTTCGTAGTGTTGCTGTCTGATGAAAGACGCCAAGTATGTTTTTTGATTGGCCAAATATGGGTGCTAGACTGGCAAACATATATTTCATGAGGTGCTGGGCAATATAAAGCATAATGTTCCAGACGAATTTTTTAGTTGCATACACTGGGAAATCCTGCAGTAGTGCTCTATGATTGATGGATTAATTAAATGAAAGTGCATTTTATGGTAAGCAGCGTATTAAACGAAGCGTAGGTACCGATTGCTGGCACGCACGATTATTATACGAAACACATAGCGACAGCATATATTTATAGTTTAAATATGTTTTGTATATTTCTAGAAAGGTCAGTCGAAAAAACACTTAATGGATCATAAAATTGCACAGCATAGTGTAAAGCTAGCAAGGGCACTTCTTCCAAGCCTAATTTCCATCACCCAAAAGAAAAGAAAAACTCCAGGTTCAATAAATTCAAGAATTTATTTTAAAAATGTAAAATATTCCAACTCTGACTTCTCAAACATGTATTTACCTACTCCGTTTCGACATCCGACTTTGAATACAAGTGTCGATAACCACAGCGGATTGAGATAATAATTTCGGAGGATCTTCACTTATTTCTTCTTAATTCACAGTTCAATTTATTTTCATTAACTTTAAACTAATTAACTTTAACCTAATTAACTTTACTTAAATTTATTTCAATTTCACTTTGTACTTTATGAAATTCTCACTGTCCAATTTTTGTCGTCTCAACCACTCGGCACTGATGATAAGGGCTCCGTCTATATGATGGTAGAACAACCAAAGAGGTTTATTTATGCTGCGGCGGTTCCTTATATAGCTGTCAGTTAACGGAAGAAAGAGAAGGAACAGTCGGAATTGCACAAACGTCAATAAACGCACAGTTCTGCTGCACGGTCGATCCCATAATCGATGAACGGGGAGTGGTAGTTTGATGGCGAGATTGATGATCGATGATGCCCACTGACGTATAGGTGTCTCTGCTCGCATATGCGAACATACTGGCCCCTTCGAAGATCGCATTCTGACTGTTTAATCGATGTACAAGATGATGATGCTGTCCCCACGTCGATTGTCGATCAACTCGATGTTGTGATGAGAAACGTCAATTGATGCTTGCGTTGGCGGTGGTGTTTTGCATTGATTGTTGTCCCTTGTCTTGTAATTGTTTATTTCAGGTGCTCTTCGTTGGAAACGTTTGTGGATGGATTTCTGCTTCATTTGATGTTGTTCGCTGGATATCAGAAGGAGGAATTGGCAGAATGGCGATTTTCGAAACCGGTCGAGTATACTGTCCTGTTGGTGTTTTCAATGTGACGACGCGAGTAATGCCGTCCTTCCCTGGATGCAAATCGACGATCCGAGCAGTAGGCCACTGGATAGGTGCTACGTTGTCCTCCTTCAGAAGCACAAGCTGGCCCGTTTGGATGTGTACTGGAGGATTTATCCATTTGGAGCGACTTTGAAGAGTGCAGAGATACTCGATATGCCATCGCTGCCAAAATTGTTGCAGTAGTTTCTGAAGCTGTTGGAAGTGTCTCAGGCGATTGAATGGAATGGTGGTGACATCAGTATCTGGAACGGCCTTCAGAGACAATCCAGTGAGGAGATGTCCTGGACTGAGGGGCTCGAAGTCGGTGGGATCATCGCTGAGAGGTACTAACGGTCTCGAGTTAAGGCAACACTCGATCTGTGCTAGCAGAGTTTGCATGTCTTCCATACCCAATTTCATTGTTCCCGCAGCTCGAACGAAGTGTTTTTGAGCGGACTGAATAGCTGCCTCCCACAAACCTCCAAAGTGTGAGGCTTTGGGAGGATTAAAACGTCATCGTATCCCGTTGTTGGCGCATTCTTCGGTGATTGATCGGTGATGCTCATTGCTTCGGACAAGATGCTGTAGTTCGTTGTTGGCACCTACAAAATTTCTCCCGTTGTCGCTGAAGATTTCGGCACACAGCCCACGACGTGCGACGAAGCGTCGAAGGGCCTGGATGAATTTGGTGGTGCTTAGGTCTCCCACAAGCTCTAGATGGACAGCCTTCGTAGAGAAACATACAAAGACCGCGACGTATGCCTTGCCTGGTGCTGCTCGACGATGGAGTGGTTTTAGCGAAATTGGGCCCCAATAATCGATTCCTGTTATGGTGAATGGCCGGGTAGCGGTGATTCGTTCGACGGGAAGTTCGGCCATAAATTGTTGAACGAGCTTAGGGCGAGCTTTGACGCAAATCACGCAGTGTTGGACGATCATTCTGGCAAGGCTTCTGGCCCCCGTGACCCAATACCGCAGTCGGAGAACATTGAGCAGCAGTTGCGGTGCTGCGTGTAAGTTGATTTCGTGGAGATGGCGAATGAGCAAAGTCGATAGGGGATGAGAGGACGGTAGTAAAATCTGGTGCTTGGTGTCATAAGGTTGTTGTGCGTGTTTCAATCTGCCTTCGATGCGGATCAGCTGATCGGTCGATAGAAAGGGGTAAAACCAACGGATGCGAGATTTTGCTGATACAGGTTGGGACTGCTGAAGATTTTTCCACTCGGCGGCGAAAGTTTGTTGTTGCACAAGGCGAATCAGTTGTACTTCTGCTTGCTGTTTTTCTTCGACGGTGATGGTAGTAGTAGTTGGTCTCGATTTTCGTTGACAGTGCAGCAGAAATCGACGGCAGTAAGTAGACCTGTGCGCCGATCAAAATATTTTCGGCGGCGGCGTGATATGTTATTTTCTGCCGGCGGCGGCGGCGTGGCGGCGTCACGCCGTTTGCTTTCGGCGGCGGCGGCGTGGCGGCGTAGCGGCGTGGGTCGGCGTGAGTGTATTTTTAATGATTTAGAAAAAAAAAATACTTTTCAAACTAATCCCACATGTACAAAAAATGCTACCCACATTTGAGTTCAGATTACTCAAAATCGCTAAAACGTAGGTCACACATAGTGTGAATAAATTTTGCGACACTTTCCCCGGAAAAAGTTCTTGAATATAAGAAAAATTTAAGAAAATTTTACCCACGTTTAGAAGTGCACTAGTGGAAGGACTACAACCACATTCAGTTTTCCTCATATTCGAGAACTTTTCCTCGGAAAAGCGTCGGAAAATTGACTCATTCTATGGGTGAGCTACGTTTTCGCGAATTTGAGTAACCTGAACTCAAATGTGAGTAACTCTTACTCAATTTTGAGTCGTTCTCATTGGCCGTGCATTCAGAATTTGTTTAGAAAAGTAAGTCAAGTGCTTATTTACATTCGCAGGGGGTGGAGTCGTATAGCAAAGTGTAAGCAACCTTTTTATTAAGTATAAGAAAAGTACGTTATGTAGAGGTGTATAGTATTGAAAAGTAATCTTTTATCATTCATTGAGCATTACACGTTATTTATATGTTGATAGTGATAAATGATGTGCTTTTATTACTCTGATGCATATTTGAATGCACGCGCATTGTAGTCATATAACTTGTGTTTATGTAATTGAAGATGAAGTCTTTCGGATATACGTAGAATCCCGCACAACTTGAACCTGTTAGAGATTAAAAAAAGATCAAACTTCAGCGTGTTGTTAATAATAATCCCTTATTCACCTTTATGTAAATCCTATCCTCGTCAGTAAGCCAGTGATTATTGCACAATTCTATTTTTGCAAATGCTGTAATTGTCATGAATTAAGAATGTTTTATCCACATTCTTATGGTGGATGCCTGACCAACGTGCAGATACGGTCGGCCCAGCTATGTTAAAAACTCGTTCACTTGGTGTGCACACACAATACCTTTCGCGAGACCTTGCGAACCAAGGCTGCCAAGCTTTCTAATTTTCCAAAAGCAGAGAATATCTCCATCTACAACGTTCTTCGGGAAACGGCGTCGGTGGTGTAGTGGTAAGCGTGATTACTTCTCACCCCAGCAGGCCTGGGTTCAATCCCAGTCGGCGCCGCCGGGATGTTCTGAGGCATAACATCTCTGATCACGCCTTCCTTCGGATGGGAAGTAAAGCCGTTGGTCCCCGGTTCATAAGTTGATGGGTCGATAGGTAGGGTCCAGGTGTAGGAGCTGCCTTCCTGGCACGTCGGTAGCATTGGTGCTCAGCACGGAAAACAAGATCGACGGAAAAAACAAACCAAAGGAAAAAAAAAAAAAAAAAACGTTGTTCGGGTATGACGTAGCCAAATATGCGGTGCACTCTTTCTCGATGACAGAGGTCACACTATCTTCAACGTTTGAGTGCTTCATAGCAAGACTGAGCAACAAGGAAGGTGAGTTAGAAGGAAGTTCATCGCATTCATCTGATTAGAAACCGATTTGAATATTCGTTTTTCAATGATGTCCGTACAATAAATTCATATCATATAGTACGTACAAGAAATTTGTAATCGAGCGTTCATCCAAAGCACTTTTAATGCATTTCAGGTTCATAAATCGAGGGTAAAGTAAAGTCGAAATCAAAATTAGGTCCTTAACAGGAAACTTTCGATTCAGATGCTCCTTCATCCCCAGATTCATGTGTGTCATGGCAAGCAAGTCCTCATTTATTTTACTGATACAAGCTTCAATCTCAGATCGCAAGAGCATGGCAATGTTAACTGTTGCATTCTTTTCAGCAGACAACAGGGTTATTATAATCTGTAAACCAAAACGGAATTTTACTACAATCTTTTCACCACCATTATGTCATCATGTTTTAGAAACAGACTAGAGTAAAATCACATTGGAACTAAAATGAAACTTTTCACACTAGACGTTCGCTACGTGATCGACTTTTAACTGGCACGTTTTTAACTTGTCCGCTGACTGAGACAATTTTTCAGTTGAAGTACATTTTCTTCCAAAATGATGCAATTTCAAAATGTCAAGATTAACTGGATGAACACTGATGCTTTTTAAATGCATTTCAGTTAGTGAATTTCGTTCGTTAGGGGAAAATCAAACATTATTTTCTCAGCTATCGAATGGCTAGTGTGTCAGTAAACGAACATCTGATCTTCAATGCACTGGTTGGATATTAATTTTCAAACCCTACATGGTCACCAATCGGTCAGATGGAACTTATTAGTAGGCTTAGTTACTAGAGATATAGCAACAATAGTTTCCAATTATAGTTTCAGAACCACAACTTAAAAAAAAAACTCACCTCAAACGGCTCAAGAAAGTTTCGGAAGTATTCAACTAGCGCCCACTCATGTGCTGTGAATATGAGATCGTGAGACGGTTCAATACAGCATTCACACCAGCTCTATTTAGTTCGGAGACTTTTCATCGTCTTACGTAAGTAATGCTAACGTGTTACGCTGATTGTTATAAGTGTTGGGGCTTATTTAGGTCCTTGACGGAACATTGACATTCATTTCACACAAACTCGGAAGTTGAGCATTTAGCTCCTCCTCCATACTAGATAACGGGTTTTGCCCATCCATATCAAGTCAATCTCCAGATTCTTCGATATCGGTTAAGATGTGTCTGTTTATTTTATCCATTTCGACTTACAATTCCGGACCTCGGTATCACTCGGCCTCTTCTTAGCCTCTGACATGCATTACAAGCAGATCACTTTCTCCTTCAATATATGTATTTTCACGTCACTCTTTCCACGTTTCACTTTAAAGGATTTTTCCTCTCGAAGTATCAATCGACAGAAAATTCAAGGGAATTTTATTTAAATTCAAATTCTACTTCGCTGAAGTCGTCGTGAATGGAAACAAAACCTCCAAAAATCAAATGCTTAAAGACGAGACCGATGCGCAGGATCTATAGGTGAGGCAGAAGGAACCGTAAGTCGACTGTTTCATTCATCCGGTGTTCTCGTCGGATCGCGAGAAAGAAAGAGTCGGCTAGTTTCCTTCTGCCTCACCTGTAGATCTGGCCGTTCTTGCTCATCGAGACGAAACCAGTGAACTGAGATTTTTGACGTTTGATCAGCGCACCAAACCGCAATCTCGAACAAGCACGAGCAGGAGGACAAAGAGGAATCATCCATGTGTGCTAGATAGAGCAAGTGCGAACAAACGTCAAAAAACTAATAGCGAATTCGTTTATTATTCAGTTCCAATCTGGATCGGGTATCAAAATTGGGTCTGCTTGTTTTCTGACAAACGTCAGTTTGCTCGTTTTTTTTAAAACCCAGCTCCGGTTGAGGTTTGCTCTGCCAAAAAGTTCGGTTTCGCACTGATAATAAACGAATTCGCTATAAATGATGCTAAATAGTTGCCTCATACAGGCTTGTTCGAGGTTACTCAAACATGAGTCAGACATTTTCATTTTCATAACTTCTTTTGAAACGTCAAAGCATGAGTAGTTGGGATTTCTGAATATGAGCAACATTGACTCAACAATAAATAAATAAAGGCAGATCTCAATTTTAAGATTTCAGCACATTTGTTGACTCAAAAAGAAACAAACTGAAATTTTGAGCAGGCTTGAAAAATCTCATTACAGCTAAAACGCCACTCTTCAATATTATGAAACTATGAGATATAATAATAATAATAGTTTTTTATGTAAGATGCAAGAAGAGGAGGTAAAGTTTGTATAGGACACATAAATCCTGTCAATTTTGCATTCACAGGGTCACAATTAGCTATTTTAGCTGTAATGAGATATTTCAATGAGTTAATACCCTTCGTTATAACTAATAGCTAATAGCTAACACTTTAATAGCTAACACTCTAATAGCTAACACTCTGGAAGTGACATTGACAGGTTTTATGTCCTACACAAGCTTTACCTCCTCTTCTTGTATCTTACATATAAAAATTATTATTTCAACATCCCATAGTTTCATAATTTCTAAAAGTAGCATTTTAGCTGTAATGAAATTTTTCAGCCCTGATTGTAAAAATGTAAAAATACGAAGTTTTCCTTTCCGTCTTAGAAGAAAATTTGAAAATTTCGAAAGAATTTATTCGAAAATGATGCAAATTGCAGCCGCCGTGGATGCAGAAACGTACCGCAAATTAAATGGTAATTGTTTTGCATTTTGTTTTATTTGATGCTTGATGTAACTGTTTTTCAGTTTTTGGTTTATTAATCCTAAAGAAAAAACGAAAAGACACGAAATATTTGCCCATTTGTGTATTTTTGACTCATTTTCCTATATTTTGGATTCTATGGAAATGAGTAGAAATAACTCATCAACAAGTACCTCGCCATTTCACTCAAAATTTAGTTCTGGCAATGTTACTAAATTTAGAGAAGATCCGGTTGTAATGAAATTGAGTGAGTTTTCACTAAATTTTGAGTAGCCATGAACGAGCGTGCACACCCGTTCTAATTACAACGCGTTCAAGATGCATTTTGCCGAAGAGGTGTTGCGGATTTATCATCGGCGTGACATAAATTTATTCGGCGGCGTGGACAATTTTACTGTGGCGGCGCGCCGGTTCAATTTCATCGGCGGCGGCGGCGTATGAAAATCGTCGGCGGCGGCGGCGTGGCGTGGCGGCGCACAGGTCTAGCAGTAAGCAGTCACTCGTAGCAATTTGTTGTAGTTGGAGAATTTGGTGACAAACAGATCGACAAATGATGGATTGTCGGCGGCTGGAACAGCTGTTGCGCATAACTTTCGTGTGTCTGGGATGCTTTTATGGTCTGCTGTGTTGATTGGTTGCTGGATTGGCCAACATTCTTTGTCGAGTGCCAACCATTGAGGTCCCTTCCACCAAAGTGCGTCGTGTAGGAGATCTTCTGCTGGTAATCCTCGAGAGATGTGGTCGGCTGGATTCTGCTGCCCCGCTACGTGATTCCAACTACAATTTTGTGTCGCAAGTTGAATCTTCGAGACACGGTTTGCAACGAAGGTAGTCCATGTCGATGGTGTAGAATTGAGCCAACAGATAACTATAGTTGAATCCACCCAGAAGTACGTATCGGTTGCGAGTTTCAACGATGCAGCCACTTTCTCGTAAAGCTGAGCAGCAAGAAGAGCTCCGCAGAGCTCAAGACGAAGAATACTCTGTTGCTTTAACGGAGCAACTTTCGATTTTGCGGTTAACAGTGCAGTTTTGGTTTCGCCGGTGGAGTTGGAGGATCGGATGTAGCAACAGGCTCCATATGCATTCTCCGATGCATCAGAGAAAAAGTGCAGCTGAATAGAAGAAGGTTTTGGGCAGAGAATGAAACGTTCGATGCGAAGTGCGTTCAGTAGTGGTAGTTGAGCCATGTAGTCGAGCCATCGTTCCTTGATGGGCGTTGGGAGTTCTTGATCCCAACCCCAAATCAGTCCATCGTTGGTCTTTAGAGTCCACAAAGCTTGCATAAACAGCTTCGCTGTTGTGATGACGGGTCCCACCAGGCCAAGTGGGTCAAAAAGGCGAGCTATTTGGGAAAGAGCAATGCGTTTGGTGAGTGGGGTGTTATCGGTCGTTGGTGTATCAATCTTGTATCGGAGATGGTCGGTCGTTGGTTCCCAGTGCAATCCTAGACTTTTAATGCACTGATCACGGTCTAGATCCACGGACGTCTTTAGGGCACGGTTGTCTTGAGGAACATCTTCTAGAACGGCTTCTTCGTTTGAGGCCCATTTCCGCAGTTCGAACCCTCCCCTGCCGAGAAGAGATTCCAACTGCTTTCGTAGTGTGATAGCTTCTTCTACTGTGTCCGCTCCGGAAAATAAATCGTCCACGTAGAAATCTTTTCGAAGAATACCGGCAGCTTCTGGAAAATCGTGCTGCTCGTCGTCCGCCAGTTGCTGGAGCACGCGTGTGGCAAGAAATGGTGCGCTGGCGGTACCGTAAGTAACGGTTTTTAATTTATATGTCTGCAGAGGGGAATCAGGCGATGGACTCCATACGATGTGCTGTAGGTTGTTGCTACGTTGGTCTGTTAAGATCTGTCGATACATCTGTTTCACGTCAGCGTTGAGCAGAATAGGGCGGATTCTGGATCGCATTGTTATCGACCTTAGTTCTTCTTGCACTATGGGTCCGACCATGAGTGCGTCGTTTAAGGATGGCCCATTCGATGTGCGACAAGACGCGTCGAAAACCACGCGTACCTTAGTGGTCGTACTGTCTGCTCGTATAACGGCATGATGAGGCAAATGGTAGGAACGATGTTGCGATTGGTAGTCTGGTACCAGCTCCATATGGCCTAGCTGAAAGTACTCGTCCATGAACGCTCGGTACTGGTTGCCTAGTTCGTCGTTCTTAGCGAGCTGACCTTGTAGTAGACGAAAGCGACGAATAGCTGTGCGACGATTGTCACCGAGATTGGAGAGAACATCTTCCTTTATTGGTAGAGATACGACATAGCGACCTTCGGGAGTTCTAGAGACTGTCCGACGAAAGTGCTCTTCGCATGCAGATTCTTCCACAGAGTAGCAGGTACTGGCGTTATCTTCTTCGATGGTCCAAAATCTTTCCATTAAGCGATGAAGATCGGTGACTGTTGCGACGTTAGCGATGACGGGATTTGTCGAACGGGTATCGGTTGTCTTTCCAGATACAACCCAGCCTAGGACAGAATTGACCAGATTCGGTAGAGACTCACCAAGCTCAATCCGACCGGACACTTTGAAGAGGTCAAAGAAGATTTCTGCCCCCAATACGAGTTGGACGGGTCTTTTATCGTAGAACGACGGGTCTGCAAGCTGAATTCCTTGGGGGATTTCCCAGGAAGAGGTGTCTACAGATGCTGACGGCAGGTTTACTGTAACCTTCGGGAGGATCAAGAATTCCACAGCGGTAGAATAATCACAGGTGCGTGAACGAATAGTAGATTGGAGTTTGTGACGAGCATACGTTGAGGATTGTCCGATACCAGCAATCGGAACGTGGATCTTGGTGCGTTTGGCCTTCATCTGCTGGGCGAGAGATTCAGTCATAAAGCAGCACTCACTTCCCGAATCGAGGAGTGCTCTGGCGACGTGGTTGGTTCCATTGTCGTCGACAAGGACGACCACGGCAGTTGCGAGCAGGACGCTTTTCTCCTTCAATGTAGAAGACGAACAGCTTACGGGTTCAGTAACGGCTGAGGCAGAGCTTCTCGGTTGTTCTTCGCATACAGGGATAGAAGAAACTTTCGGTTGAGCGGTGTCGGCAGTCCTGGAGTTCACAGCGACTGGAGCTTCGGTGGGGCAGAGTTGAGTATGGTGGCGATTTCTACACTTGCGGCAAGTACTGGAGGAGGGGCAGTCACGCGTTTGGTGGCCCTTTCGTAAACAATTGCGGCATAGTTGGTGGCGACGGACATCTCTTTCCTTATCTTCTACCGACATTTTCGAGAAAACTGCGCATTGATACAAAGGATGATGATCGGAACAGACGAGACACTTGCGATAGTTCTGCTGGCTGGCTCCATGGCTGGTGACGGGACGCTGAACAGGCTTCTTTGTGTAAGTTGACGGAGGAGGTTCAGTTGTCTTGTTGATCGACTGTAGAACCGTGACTCTTCGTTGAATGAAAGCCGTTAGGTCAGTGAAGGTGATCTGATTCTTCGTCGATGAGAATTCTTCCCAGTCACGTCGAGTGGTGTTGTCGAGCCTTATGCTGAGCATTCGTATCAGAAGTATGTCCCAGAATTCGGTCCTTTCTCCCAACTGTTTCAGTACTCTCACATTTGCTTCGAACTTCTCAACGAGTGAGTGTAACTCCGTCGCTGAATCCCTTTTCAGCGAGGGAAATTCAAAGAGCGAATCTACGTACGACTGTTTCAGTCTTGCAGAGTTCTGATAATGTTCTGTCAACAACTTCCAGGCGACCTGGTAATTGTCAGCGCTGATCGTGATGGTTTGTATAAGCTTGAGGGCATCTCCGGATAAGGAAGATGTATATTGGATAGTTCGTGCGACGAGTGGACGAGTGAGACAAATAGGTCGTGGAAGTTCAACCAGCTATCGAGTTGACCAGAGAAAACAGGTAGCTTCACGTCGGGTAGTCGAACGCAAGACGATTGTAGAGGTGGTTGCGCATTTGAACGAGGGCTAGGTGACTGTACCAAAGCAGGTGATTTATTGACCGAAAGCAAGAACCCCTTCACACGGTAGTAGGTTGACTCAAAATCAGTACGGACTTTCAGGTACTGGTCTACAGCGGCCTCATCCACCGTTTCCAGATCCACTTGCACCGCGTTAACCTCCTTCCAGAGCTTCACCAGGTGCTCCAAACGCACCGGGACTTGACAGGCATCCGTTTCTTCGTTGTATTCGTCCACGAACATTTTGATCAGGTTGAATGACGTCAGCAGGCTCTTCAGGCGCGTCTTGAGGCCTTTAATGCGTCGTTCCGTAGACATCGTAGACGTAACGATGGCGAAAATGAAGAAGAGAACGGATCTGCAAAGCGGAAGACCGCGTAGCTCAAAAGGGCAGGGGTATTGGATTTGGAAAGGTAATTACCTTGTAAAGGCAATTCGAATGCCTTGTATGAATGTTCTAGAACAGCTAACCTCCTTGACACGTGACTGGCGTCGATACAGCGGGTCCAATGAAGATTCCGGGCTGGCGGACAAGCGGAGTTCACGCTAATCCGGCTCGAAGGACCAATGTCGATAACCACAGCGGATTGAGATAATAATTTCGGAGGATCTTCACTTATTTCTTCTTAATTCACAGTTCAATTTATTTTCATTAACTTTAAACTAATTAACTTTAAACTAATTAACTTTACTTAAATTTATTTCAATTTCACTTTGTATTTTATGAAATTCTCACTGTCCAATTTTTGTCGTCTCAACCACTCGGCACTGATGATAAGGGCTCCGTCTATATGATGGTAGAACAACCAAAGAGGTTTATTTATGCTGCGGCGGTTCCTTATATAGCTGTCAGTTAACGGAAGAAAGAGAAGGAACAGTCGGAACTGCACAAACGTCAATAAACGCACAGTTCTGCTGCACGGTCGATCCCATAATCGATGAACGGGGAGTGGTAGTTTGATGGCGAGATTGATGATCGATGATGCCCACTGACGTATAGGTGTCTCTGCTCGCATATGCGAACAACAAGCTTATATACATATATATACAGTCATTTCATAGCAGACGATATAGTGGTTTTCAGAATTTCGTAAAAATTGGTTGTTTTGTTCCTTATTGCAAAATATTAGACCTGTATTTTTTTTTTGTCATAAGGGTGACCAGTTTCATCTTGGATGGTCCAAAGAGTTGATTTTTTAAATGACTTTAATGAGTCGTTTCAAATATCATCGATTTCAAAGATCAAAATATCGAATGAAAGGTAGTTAAAAATACTTTTAAGGAAAAATATAATGATATTTAATATTGGAATTTTGTATTCAAAAACATTGATTGTAGGGGAAATGGCTCTAATGTTGGGCCCATCGCTAAAAATCTGCTATTTATCAATTTTATCTAGATGAACGCGTCATTGGGACGGTACTAATGGATATTTTTGGTTGCTATTGAAAATTTAGTCGATTGCTGAATTTATGTATGGGCCCAGATTAGGGACACTTAGGCCGACATTACATATATTTCCCCTATTTAGTTTTTATGGTTTTCATGGTTTGTTGACAGAGGGCGCAATATGTTTTCTATTTTTCCTTGAAAAATTAGGCACGTTTTTTTAATGGGTGCAAACCTTCATATCACGCGTTCTCATTGACTTCGTTCGGTAGCTTTTCAACTAAAGTATCGTACCAAACGCATAATTGACTTGTTAACTCTGAAATCATAGATTTATTTGAAGTTTTCTGCTCGATAGGCCCAAAATGGACGATTTTTTTGGTTCAGGACCAATGAATTTCGTGGATGACCCTATTTTTGCCAATTGATCAGCTTTTTCGTTTCCTTCGATTTCACAATGACCAGGAACCCAAGGTTAACCGTATTTCGAGAGGACAGTTGCTGTAATAGTTTAGTACATTCCCACACCAGTTTTGACGTGTATGTTTTTGATTTCAAAGCAACCAGCGCCGCTTGACTAGCTGAACAAATGCATATATTCGCATTTGTATAGTTCTTTTAAATGCAAATCGCTGCACATTCTAAGATGGCATAAATTTCAGCTTTCAATACTGTCGGCCATTTTCCCATGGACACCGAGAAATTAACCCCAGGGCCGGTAATACCAGCCCCGACCATATTATCTTGTTTCGAGCCATCTGTATAACAAAAATTAATGATCCAGGACTAATATTCCGTCTTCCTGCACCCCAGTCAACGCGAGTCACATCAGGAACTTGGAAATTATGGTTGAAAAAATGTCGCTTTAGCATACAATCTTCGTTCATCAATATTAATGGACTTATCTGAGACTCTTTTAGAATGCTCAAATGTCCAATAAGATCTCTTTGCCGAGATTCAGTTAACTGAGGTCTCGTCTAATGAACATAAATTTTGCTGAGATCTCAGTAAAAATAAATGCCGAGCCTGCTCTCGGCAAAAAAAATCTAAGTGTGTAGATCACTTTTCACTGTATCCAGTTGAATAAAAGGATGAGTAAAGCATCTAAAGTTGTAGAGGGAGTACTAAGCATTGCTCCAGTTATGGAAATAGTAGCAAGCCTTTGTAGCTTGTTTAGTTTGACTTGTGCCGTTTGTTGCTTAGTTTTCGGCCACCGTACTTTAACTATAGTCGAGTATATCCAGTGTATCATATTTGGCTTCAGACCCTATTTTTTTCCAAACGTTGTTTTGCAGGTCCAAAAAGCATTCATATTTGTCGATCAATATGTTTGTTCCAGCAGACTTTACTATCTAAAGTTACTCCTAAAAACCTAGTTTAAGATCAGTGATAGAGATTTTACGTCTTTTAGTAAAAGGTACAATTCAATCTTTGCACCACGATAGTGTGAATGTTAATGCTTTTTGCATTGTGTCGAAAACAACTTTATCGAATTGTTCACGGACTATAGACAATATATGACAATATCATCCGCAAACCCAATTATTTCGAATCCTTGGTGCTTTAGTTTTAAAAGAAGGTCATCAACAACTAGAGACCACAGAAGGGGAGAATGAACACTTCCTTGAGGACAGCCTTTTACAGCTGTTACTTTTACTAATGAATCTCCTAGATTATCTGATCTTTCTCTTTTGGATAGCATTTCTACAACCCAGTTGATTATGTTTTTATTAAAACCACTATTTCTCATGGCGCTTATCATCGACGTGAAAGATGCATTATCAAATGCACCTTCAATTTCAAGAACCTTTAGAAGTAGAAAGTCCTTAGCAGCAAAGGATTTTTCTATTTTATTAATGAGAGTATGAAGAGCTGTTATTGTAAACTAGCCTGACTGGAAAGCAAATTGTGTCTTACATAATGGTTTTCTAAGAAGTATTTCTGATTTAACATATTCATCTATGAGTTTTTCCATTAATTTCAAAAGTATTGATGACAGGCTTATTGGTCTAAATGATTTTGGTGAGGATTAATCTCTTTTGTTCGCCTTTGATATGAACACCACTCGGACTTGTCTCCATTTTTTGGGATGAATCCCAATAAGAAACTGTACTTAAACAATTTAATTAAAACAGGAATTATTATAGATTTACAATTTTTAATATGTGCTGGAAAAATTCCATCTGGGCCAGGGGATCTAAAAGAACTAAAAGAATCTATCGCCCATTCAATTCTAGAGTTTGTAAATATTCTAATGGCAAAGTTTTCAGCCTCTTCATTTGACACTTCTAGCCCCGTAGTGAGACATTTGTTTCGGTAGATCTATCACGTTCACCACAGTCTGAAGATGTGGCATTTTGCATGCAATCATGATTTTGTAGTTGATTATCAGTAGGAAGGGACTCTCTCTGGAAAATGGGTTTGCATAATCAGTTTCAGAGTTTCATTTGAGTTTTCAGTCAAATGTCCGTCAGTCTTTTTGAGAGTTCCGAGACCGTTAGAATGATCTTTTGAGAGAACTTTTTGAAGTCTTGCAGTTTTAGGAGTGCTTTTTTTATCTTTCCGCTTCTTATATTGAGACCAGTTTGAAGTAAATTTTGTACGGTTGAATAGTTTCCTAGCTTTATTCCGTAGTTTTCCTAATCTATCATTCCACCAGGAAACATCTCTATTGATCGAGCGCTCCTTTGTAGGACAACTGGAATTGTAAGCCTGATTCATATCAGTTATTAAGTCATTTGCAACTTTATCCAGCTTTGTAATGCACACTTAAAAATAACTATTTTTACCCATCTTTGACGTAAATTATGGACCGTAAATAAACATGTCATGTAAAATCAAGTGTTCCCAAACCGAAACATACGCAACTCGATGAAAAGTACGATTGATTGAATTTATTTTATCGTTTCTTTCAACTGATTCTTATGTTATTTGGGCCGCTTGCATGTGTCGGTCTCAGGGCATGGAAATTTACATGACTTTTTGGTAGTGTGTGGTATCAATATTATTGAAAAATGGGTTCATGTTGACTCTTCATATTTGTGCTCTATAGTTCCCAATTTGTTTTACGAGGATCTTTATAAACCTCCATTCAGTATATCATTAGCCTTAAATTCAAACATAATTTGTTTATGATCAAATACAGAAATCTCGTCTGATACATGCCAATTTACTATTCGATCAGAAAGTATTGAACTACAAATAGTAAGGTCCAAAACTTTTTCGCTTATCGCATTAACAAATGTCGGGGAGTTCCCTTTGTTACATATGTCAATATTATGTTGTGAAATGAAATCAAATAGACACTCACCCCTTTTGTTGATTCCGGAGCTGCTCCATATCGTATGATGAGCGTTTGCATCACATCCGATGATTAAAGCCTTTTTTTGACTTCTGCAGTGAGAGGCGAACGCTGCAACTTCTGGAGGAGGAGCATTTTCAATATCGCCAAGAAAATAAGCGGATTTTATCTGGCACACATTCACCTATCTCTATATGTGCTTCCAAAGTAATCTTAGCTACAATGGGCTTGTTGGTCATTGTCATAGCAACCACACTTTTTTTTCAGAATTTGGACAACTAGAACCAAAGTTAAATTGATATAAGTGAAATTTCTTATTCTTACATAGTAATTCTATAGTCTTCTTCAATATTCACCATTTTTTTTAACAGACTAATATTTTGAGGTAATGAATCAAACGAGAACTGTAACACTTTTTTTAAATGAAGCCCCTACTGTGTATGCGTAGACTTTACTAGAATTTACGGAAGTGCTTTAAAATTTGAAAGAAAAAATTATTTGAAACAGTGTACACCAATTCAGCTGCTTGTCAAAAATTTAAAAAATTAACAATTTCTGCTAAACCTGAGATTTAGTTTGGGGAAACAATGCAGTACAACTAAGACCGCAGATTAACCCTATATTAACT